GTGCCTTTGAGACCCTATGGTAGCCCAAGAATGAAAATTACCCCTATGATGGCATACCATTTGCAATAGTAGACAACCCAAGGTATTGCAAACTGGGTATGTCCAGTCTTTTTTAGTAGCCACTTAGTCACAAACACTGGCCAAAATTTGAGTTTTTTGCATTTTTCACCCAAATACTAACGCTAACTTTGGCCAGTGTTTGTGACCAAATGGCTACTAAAAAAGACTGTACATACCCCATTTGCAATACTTTGGGTTGTCTACTATTGCAAATGGTATGCCATTATGGGTGTAAATTTCATTCATGGGCTACTATAAAGTTCCAAAGGCAACGTAACCAATCTGGCGAATTTCAATTTCAAATGTAATGTGCTATATTTGACCCTGTAACTTCCCAAAACGCCATCAAACCTGTACATAGGGAGCACCATTTTTGTCATATTAAATTATGTTTCATAGCTAAATATTTGATATTAAATGAAAGCCCTGTTTCCCCTGAATAAAATGATATATAATAAGGGTGGGTGCATTTAATATGAAAGAGGTGAATTACGGTTGGACAGACATGTAGCGCAAATGCCAGGTTTTGTTTACATTTTGTTTTGTTCACAACGTGTACATTTGGCTCAGTCCTTAAGGGGTTAAAGAACCACTATAGTGCCAGGAAAACATACTCGTTTTCCTGGCACTATAGTGCCCTGAGGGTGCCCCAACCCTCAGGGACCCCCTCCCACCCGGCTCTGGAAAGGGGAAAAGGGGTAAAACTTACCTTTTTCCAGCGCTGGGCGGGGAGCTCTCTGCCTCCAATCCTCCCCGTCGGCTGGCTGCGCGCGCATTCAGCCGGTCGCATAGGAAAGCATTATCAATGCTTTCCTATGGACGCTTGTGTGCTCTCACTGTGATTTTCACAGTGAGAATCACGCAAGCGCCTCTAGCGGCTGTCAATGAGACAGCCGATAGAGGCTTTGGGGGAAGGCTTAACCCATTTATAAACATAGCAGTTTCTCTGAAACTGCTATGTTTATAAAAAAAATGGGTTAACCCTAGCTGGATCTGGCACCCAGACCACTTCATTAAGCTGAAGTGGTCTGGGTGCCTAGAATGGTCCTTTAAGTGGCATTGCCATCTGCATGATTGCCATATTTAAAGCAACACTGTCGTGCCGAACTAGTTTTCTTTAAAACATAAGACAAAGTAAGGACTATTTGTCTTATGGATGTTTCCTACGCCTGACCATCTCTGACCAGCGGAGGAGCAAAGTGTGCTTCATTTCCGGTGGTCAGAGATATTCTTACCTTTCCTCTGTGTTCCCGCGATGCTTCCTTTCACTTTTTCCAAACGTCCTGTCACTGTCTTAGACAGTATGCTGGCAAAACTACTAAATTGCATTCTAACAGAATGAGAACAGTTTCTCCATTCGTGCTAAGACGCAATTCGGATCGGAATTTCATTTGAATTAATGAAACTGAGATCCTATTCGTGCCGTGGCTGCATCTTGTAACCGCTTAGTAGATAACCCCCTAATCCCACAGTATTAGGGAGCTATCTACCAAAAGTCTGAAAAACCTAAATTGGTTTTTCAGTCAAATTTACTAATACTAAGAAAAGGAAATTGTGAGTAGGGGCATGTCTAGTAAACAGTGAGCAGCCACAAAAAAAACGAGAGCCCCCCTCCAGATCGGCAGGTGGAGGCCCTAAATGAGAATGTTGGGGGGGGAGGGGGCCCTAAGTAATGAGGCCTCAAAAAAAGGCCAAATAAAAACCATAATACCAGTCGAACTTGTAAAAAATCCGAGCAGCAAAAAAAAATAAAAAAATTAAGACGCTAAAAAAAATTAATCCATCTTCACCCGGATAGAAAGCATGGCGCAGATTGAGCTCCACAGGGCGGGCAAAGGCTTATAAAACCTTTCCACGCCCTGCAATTTGACTCAGAACACGCTTAGTGGTTCCAAAGAACTTGAATTCCAAAGTTGTCCACCCTCATTGTTTTTAGGGCCTCCACCCACCACTCAGGGGAGCGGGGGAGAACAATAGGTCTCCCCCCCCCATTGCTATTTATGGCCCCCACACACCACTAAGGGGTGGGGGCGACAATATGTCCCCCCTTATTCTCATTTAGCCCCCACCCAGTGCTCAGGGGTGGGAAGAAAAAAAAAATGTGTTTAACTAGGCATGCGCAGGAATCTCACAGAGCTATCTAGTGTGGGCAGATGATGTTTACCAGAGGGCCTTCACCTACCCACACAAAGATGGCGGTGCCCAGGACCTAGGTCGGGGCATAAAATAAAGTTTAAAAACTAGGTAATATGAGGGGCTTAGGGGCGACTAGGGGGTCAATTAGATGTAGTGGAGTTGGGGGTTAAAAACCAAACAAACAAAAAACAGGATTTGGCCATGACAGTGCTGCTTTAAGGATATTAAATTAGGGCAATGCTTAGCATATAGCCACTTTATTTGGTATCCTTAAATATGTAAATCCCATGTAATGATAACATGTAAGATTTTTTTTTTTAAATTAGTTTTGATCTGTGTTTAGTAGTCTTTGAAATAACGATGTCCAAATTTCATTTAGTTTTGAAATGATAGTTTCTGTATTTTGGACAAACCAAGATTTGAAATCTTGGTGTACTAGCAAAACCATTAACAGATTTATTTAACCAATCATTGTTAACAGGATTAGTCCCAGAAGATTGGAAGTTAGTGAATGTTGTGCCCATTTACAAGAAAGGTAACAGGGAGGAGTCGGGCAACTATAGGCCAGTAAGCCTTACTTCAGTAGTGGGGAAAGTGATGGAAACCATGTTAAAGGATAGGATTGTTGAACATCTAAAAACACTTCAGGGAGATCATGCCAAACTAATCTTATTGATTTTTTTGATTGGGTAACTAAAATTACAGATCAGGGTGGTGCAGTAGACATTGCTTACCTAGATTTCAGTAAGGCTTTTGACACTGTTGCACATAGAAGGCTTATCAATAAACTGCAATCTTTAAGATTGGATTCCAATATTGTTGAATGGGTAAGGCAGTGGCTGAGTGACAGGCAACAGAGGGTTGTAGTTAATGGAATATATTTGAAGCTTGGACTTGTCACCAGTGTGGTACCTCAGGGATCTGTACTTGGACCCATTCTCTTTAATATTTTTATTAGTGATATTGCAGAAGGTCTTGATGGTAAGGTATGTCTTTTTGCTGATGATACTAAGATATGTAACAAATTTCCAAATGACAAATGATCATTTCCAAATGACAAATGATTTAGGTAAAATAGAAAAATGGTCAGAATTGTGGCAACTGACATTTAATGTGGATAAGTGCAAATAATGCATCTTGGACGTAAAAACCCAAGGGCAGAGTACAGAATATTTGATAAGAGTCCTAAACTCAACATATGAGGAAAGGGATTTAGGGGTGATTATTTCTGATGGCTTAAAGGTAGGCAGACAATGTAATAGAGCAGCAGGAAATGCTAGCAGAATGCTTGGTTGTATAGGGAGGAGTATTAGCAGTAGAAAGAGGGAAGTGCTCATGGCATTGTACAGAACACTGGTGAGACCTCACTTGGAGTATTGTACACAGTACTGGAGACCGTACTTCAGAAGGATATTGATACCTTAGAGAGAGTTCAGAGAAGGGCTACTAACCTGGTTAATGGATTTTGGGATAAAACTGACCAGGAAAGGTTAAAGGATCCGGATATAGCTTGGAAATGTTCTTAGGATGATAGAAACATTAAATATAAAAGGAAAACACAGTAAAGTAAGAACATTTAAAGAGGAAAGGGGAAGGCTTAAGGACAGTCTTAGCATTTCTTAAATGCAATAATATCAAAAGTATTACTTTACTGAGAGGGTAGTGGATGCATGGAATAGCCTTCCAGCTGAAGTGGTAGGGTTAACACAGTGAAGCAGAGTTTAAGCCCCCATGGATAGGCATGTATGATATTTTATGATGCAGTTGCACATTTGTTGGCAGATACTTAAAAATATAAGCCAATTTTAGAAATATTTAAATTTGGCAATATGGTATTATCCATTGCACAGTATACACAGTTGCTATTTGTATCCACACCATCTGAACATACTCAGAGTATGCACACAACAGGTCAGACACAGTATAACACCAGTGATGACGAACCTGTGGCACGCACGCCCCCTCTGCAATGCAGAGTAGGCACAATGCAGAGTAGGCACAGGCGCCCTAAAATCGCAGGCGCCTACTCTGCTCTCTGCAGGGGGAGACGGAAGCAGCAGCTCTATCTGAGAAGCAGCTCTCCCTCCCGCGAGCAATCTGTGTGGAGCGTTGTCGCACGTTACCATGGCACTGCTCCACACCGCATTGGAGAGCTGGGAACCTGGAGAGCTACTTGGATGTTGCGGGGAGAGGATGTTGCGGGGAGAGGAAGAGGAGATGCTGGGGGAGAATGCTGTGGGGGTAGAGAAGGGGAGATGCTGTGGGGAGAGGGGGATATGCTGTGGGGAGAGAAGAGAAAAATTAGTTTGGACAACTGTATGAGTTGTTTTTTTTCTAAACTTAGACCTCAGTATTCAGGTTTAATTGCCATGTTGGCGCTTTGAGGAAAAAAGTTGGCATGTATTGCGGTTTGGGCTCTCGAATTTAAAAAAGGTTCGCCATAACTGATATACACACTGGCACACTACCACAAACGTTGAACATACACAGAGATATGAGAATGTTGTGCCTACAGGTGCTCATGATGTAAATCCATGCTAAGTATGAGCAAAAGTAATTGGAGGTGGGATTAGAGCAGAGTGCTCTATGCGCCAAATACTCTTTGTTCTTGTTCAGAGTGACTCAAAAGTGTGACACCATGATTCAACACCCTGGTACTGTTCACCCCTGATCCAACTCAACGTTTTCACATCCATATAGATGCCTCTATATTTGGACTGTGAGTGGTGTTGAGCAAGGTTGAAGATGAACTGAAGCACTCTATGGCATATATCAGTGTGAAAACTTTTGCCTTGAGAAGTCAGCTATGCCACACCTTGGACTGGCCCTCAAGAAGCTACAGCCCTACCAGTATGGAAGATATTTTATTCTTCTCACCGACCATAATCCCCTTTTATGCTTTAACTGGGTGGCTGGAGATAATGGCAGATTTCAACAATCAAGTCTGGCCTTCCAGCCATATTTCACCATACACTATCGGCCTGGGAAACAAATTGGCAATGCAGATTGTCCCATTAAACTGAGCTAGAGTGAGAGACTAAAAGTTTTATGGTGTTCCCAGGTTGACAAATCCAGATCTGGCTGTGTTTCCAGTACTGTTGGTAAGAGGGGAAGCATTGTTATAGAAAACACTGAACACCACCCAAAAAAGTGCTATACTAATCACCCCATTCTGGAAGTCCAAATCACATCAGCTTGTGTATTGCTCTGGTGATACAGACCCCTCTTTTCTTCAGTATGCTCTTACAGAGGGAATTGAGGGAGAACGAAGCCACCAAGCTTCTAGTGTAATATGGCCACGCACTGAAAGGGTGATTTTATTCTCCCACAACCCTCTGGCCTTGTCAGGGCGGAAATGATCAGCTTTGATTATCTCAGCCAATCCAATGCTTTCCCATAGAAAAACATTGGGAGGCAATTTAGCATGCACGGCGAGACGCCACGCCAATCAGCATCCCCTCATAGAGATGCATTAAATTATTGCATCCCTATGGGGCACCTTCAGGGTCTCCTGGCAGAGAGTGGAGAAGCTAAACACCAGTGCTGCACCTCTAGTGGCAGTCTAAGGTACTATCACTAGAGCTGTTACTAGGCAGTAATGTAAATTCTGCCTTTTCTCTTTAGTGTTTAAGCTGCGTTTACATTGAAAAGTCTGCAGGGACAGGCTATAGACACCACAACCACTACATTACGTTTTAGTAGTCCTGGTGACTATAGTGTTGCTTTAGAAGGGTGGAGACAAGCATCCAACCATTTTCTCCAACTGCCACTGATAGACAACTTATAGAATACTTCATTACTATCTGTTAGTTCCCTTCACTTCCGTTTTGTAACCCAACAATCCCAACCTGATTTTATGTTATGGTCTACAAAATAGGTCACATGTTGTGCACCAACAGTAGTTAACATTATAAAACATCATAATTATTAAAATACAATATTTTCTTTTTTTTTTTTTTAGAAAAATGTTTATTTTGTGGTCATACTCTGAACCCCTACATTAATATTGTTTACGGTGCAATTCCTACAAGAGCAAACCAAAGACTTGAGGTGCTTACAGCAATTAGAAGGCCTGTCAGCACATACCAAAGTTCTACTACAGTGACAATTCTGCAATTTTTTTGTAATCCTTGTACATCTATAGCTTTAATGGAAAGTTTGTAAAAAATACAAAATGCATAACATTACAAGAAATGTTGGGCCACAGGGAGTAATCAGATGGACGTGCAGTCCAGGGAAAATTGTTACACTAGCAATACTGTTCTTGGATTTAAGAATACATATGCCACCAGGTGACTAAAGTAGCATATTACACAAAGCTCCAATGAGAAAATGCTGGGATTAAACAAAAGCAGCACTGTAGAATGGTGCAAAGGCCTTCAATTCGCATGTATACACCTTTAAGATTAGATAACTTAACAGCTAGAATTGTAGAAATTTTCAAGTACAGGTCACAGAAATATTTTTTTTCAACTCAATAAATATTTTTCTCATTGTTTCCTTATATAATTTAAAATGCCACTATTTAATGAATCAAACAGAGGGCCTCACAATGTGCCACTTAACTCTGAAAATTTATTTTTCAAGCATCACAGAATGTGACTACAATGTGATGTTTATACAGCCATTAAAAGTAGTAACTAGAACCACTTTGTTGCCTCAGCAATCAAAAGGACAAAATGTACCTGCTTCAAAAGAGTTAAACAGTCATGAATTTCTACAGCTGTAACATGTCATAAAACCATCTGCTGTTAAAATGTGTTTGTTCACTTTTTCATTTAACAGTCACAGTTTTGTTGTGCTGTAAACGTCTGGGAGGCAACAGTAAAGGTAGTTTATACAAAAAGCAAAGAAAAAACAAAACACAAATTGGGTTAAATTGTGAAGCCTCACAAGCACTCAATGGGAACCCATCATCTAAACAAAGTATGATATAGGTGCAGAGAACATAAATGCTGCGTACATTGTGCTCTGCGTTAAATGTATAGATTAAGATAGTTTTATTAAATGCAGATTGCTTTCATACCTTTGAAACACCACATGCAATTGTCTATGTAAATTATTTACTGCAGACCATTTGCATATGAAGTCACAAGATAGGAGTCAACAACTTTAAATCTCAGCTTTTCTATTTATACATTCAATTCTGGCAGCACAATGACAATATTTATGGTCCGTCCCCCCCCCCATACACAAACTGTGAAACACTGCTTACATGGCAGCAGCTCATTTAGATGGTAAACTATCAGCACTACTTAACTGTCAAATAACAGCAAGCACAGATCAATAGCAGAAAAGTAACACTGAAAACCTGCAATGCCCATCTTGAATGAAACGGCTTCATCGTAGAAGGCCAATTATTAGAATAAGAAACCTGGACGTGATTTAAATCATACTAAATGGGATGAAAAACACAAAAAAACAAAACAAAATGGATTTGAAAGATTAACATTTTAAACACTGACCAACAACTTCTGCAGAAACAAGAAAGCACACAAAGCAAAAGGTATATGTATAGATTTATATTTACAAATGCACACACACGTACATAAGAGGGATATCCCAGAACCTGCTTAAATTGGAGTTTTCTTGTTTTGGTCCGTAAGGCCCACCTGTGTCAGAGTGCTGGTGGCTTAACAGTTACCAAGAGCGACATGCATGATATCAGGATAACAGAGATGCTTTCCAGACCCAAAGAAGCATGTACTATACAGGTTAAGAAAGTACTCTGTTTAAAACGAGGAGCCAAAAATGGATCTATACAGAGTGCCTGAGATTGTGCACGAGGGAACTGGGGATTATACAAACAGTAATAAATTAACCCCCACCAGGGCCAATGACACATCAGGAGTATTACAATAATTTGGGATTTTCTAACCCTGGTGTTGAATTAAGTAACACACCAATTGGCCATGTAGAAGAAGAAAAAAAAGCCTCCTTGCATTTTAGATCTCACAATATTTTCCTAAGGTTTTCCATAATTTGGTTTTCTACGATTAATACATTTCATTACACTGAAGTATGGAAGATTTTGGCAATATTATCTTTTTCTAAAAAAAAAAAAAAAAAAAAATTCTTTAAAACCTAAACAGTAAAGTTAGTTTTGTATCCTTGTTACACTGCATATCCTGCAAAGTCAACTAATGTTAAATGCATTCATGTTATAGGAATGACTGTTTATGCCAAACATGTGATTGCAAAATATAGACACATTGTAAATATTGCAAGTTTTCAGCTGCAAACTGTGGGCAACATTATAGTGTCTTCGGTGCATGATGCTCCCAGGCGATGTTTCTCCTTGCAACTCTGTAGAAACTGTAAGCTTTATTTTTTTTTATATTAACTTTGCCAAATATCCAAGTTCATTTGTTGGATCTTTATGATATTTTTAATCTCTTCTTGGTTTTCGATTTCTGGGAGATTTGTTCAAAATTTCTTCCTCCTGTAAAAAGAAACACATTTCACACATTAACTTTTTACAAATGCTTTGATATTATAAAAGCTTTTTTAGCTTAAGGCAGGGCTCAGAAATTCTACTTGGCCATTAGCAACAAGTGAAAATAGAGTCCAAACCCGGAGAAGGGCACTCCATCACAAGATAAATGCTAATTCCGATTTTTAAAAAATCTTTATCTACAGTTATCCAGCTCAGCCTTGCGGCGCTGCTGGGAATGCTGCAATTTCTAGGGTATAGGAATAGTTTTATCACACTATTGGGTCTAATATTTAACACTGCCTCTTCTGTTGTATTTTTCTAACAAAAATCATAGTTGATTTACCAGTGGGGAGACATGTAGCTTCCTGGCTGATTAAGCCAGACTATTTCTTATCAGCCGCAATGTTGTGTTATACACTAGTGTACACAACCAGTAACCTCTGATGATCTGTGATACCATTGATTTCTCCTTTCAGTATCATTTACAAATGACTAAATATTGTATTTAATAAAAAAGAAAGAAAATCGAGCCAAAGCGCAAGATATTCACCTCTTGTGACTTTGCCTAGATCCTCTAGGCTTGCAATAGCTGTTAACATTTAGGTCTAGTAGCACAGGACTTGACATAAGGATCAAATGTAGTTTTGTATGTTACATAGTTGTGCAGACAAAACAGTAAAACCTTTGTAGACGCCATGTTGAACAAATTACAGAATACATTTCACTCACATTAGGTTTGCTGTCTGGCTGTTCCTCTCCACCTGCTGCCTCCTCTTCCTGACTTGCATTTCCCGTATCTTCATCACCAGCTTCCTGCTTCTCTTCCACTATGTGAAAGAGACCGCATTATAAATGTAGGCAATGTACAGCTGGGAAGTGATTTGACACAATAAACATGCTTCAACCATGAAATATATTTCCTGCTTCCATTGTGTCACAGAAGTGGAATGATTAATACCACATTTTGAAATATGATTTTGTTTGCATCTTAAAAAATACATTTGTTCCCACTTACCTGTAAGTTTGGATATATAAACCTTTCTGAGTCAGTAGGATTATAATGAATACACAACTAAGGTTTATGGGGGACACCACTGTACGTACAGTGTCTGTGTGCACTAAACTGCTTGAAAAGCATATTCTCTGCATTATACATAAACAGTCAGATCTGTGGTTTAACTCCCTCTTACCTGGTTTATCATCTTCAGCTTCTTCCTCCTCCTCCTCCTCTTCCTCTTTATTCTCCTTTTCTTCCTCTTCCTCCTCCTTCACATCAGGCTGTGGAGCATCTGTCTTTTTGTGAGTGGTGTCCACTGTCTGCTTCTGCAATAGGATAGTCAAGAAAAAAAAAAATTGTATATTTATTTAAATCCAATTTATTTTAATAAAACACTATTGAAGTTAAAACAAAATGTTTATTTATGAAACATTACAGAACAAATGCTATTCAACATGAAATGGGAATTCATTATGTATTCATTCAATATTCACATTGTAAGTGAATTCCATTAATCAAAGTTAATTTAACTTGTGTCTGCAGTAATAACATGCACTTTTTCACAGCAAAAATGTTAGAGCTAATAGACTAAACCCATACCTAGTTTCCCTCATCCACCCAGACCAGGTGGGATTCATCCCCCACAGACAAGCAGCAGATAACACACGAAGGGCCATAGATCTCATTTGGCTGGCCAACCACAAACACATCCCTATGGCCATACTATATCTAGACGCAGGCCTTCGACCGTCTGCTATGGCCATTTCTACACAGAACCCTATCACACATAGGATATCCTAACGCATTTACCTCGTTTCTACATGCGACATACAACTCCCCCCAAGGCGCACTCCTACTACCAAACATACCCCCACCGCAGTTCCTCATATCAAATGGGACACGCCAGGGATGCCCCTTATCACCCTTACTCTTCGCCCTCTGATTGGAACCCCTGTTACAGGGGATGCACTCCAGCCGGGAGGTGGAAGGGATCACAATACAAGGAGAAACATTCAAAATCTCGGCAAATGCCAATGACATACTCCTAACGCTAACCAACCCAGAACGCTCCTTCACCCACCTTCTCACCATCATACGCGAATACTCCGAACTCTCAGGGTATAAGACCAACTTATTCCGAGCTTCTACCGATACAAATAGAACCCCAGAGTTTAACTAGAATCAAACAAACAGTCCCATTGCGAATCTGTCATACAGATAT